ATGTGCTTACCAGCGAAGAAATTTTGATAACTCGTTTATATTATAAAATTCGCCCAGGAAACTTAACTGACCTTTATTATTTAGCTGATGAAGAAGAAAAAGAAAAATTAAAAAAAGAGTTGAAATTAAGTCCAGAAATATTGCCTCCCGTGGGTTTGTCAGAAAAAAAATGCCAAAATTCGGCGATTGTTAAAAAATATTTGGCTTGATTTAACCGCAAGTATACTATCGCGGAATTGGCTAGATTGACTAACAAACCCGAAAGTTTAGTCAATAAACTAAAAAAAAATGCTTTCCAACGCTTACAAGAAGAAGTTCAAAAAGAGAGAAATGAAAAATCTTTTCGTTCTTTGCTGGCTTAATTGTTTTTGGTTAAGATACACAGTCTATTCCTTTCCTAGTTAGTTTTCTGTTTCTTTTTTTTCTTTTTAACTTGTTCCTTGTTTTGTTCCCTTTTCTGTTCTGGAAGGAACACAAAAAATATTCATCTTTCTTTTGTAATAAACCCAAATTCAGTATTATAAAAAAACCAAATAATAAGAAGGAAAGAAAAAAAGATTAGATTTTGTTACTAGAAATAACCAATTCTGAGAAAGGAATACTCAAATCGATTTGTTATTAATTTTAGTTGTTTTTGTGGTTTTATCTCTCTCTCTCTCTCTCTTCATCTTGTGTAATCTCGCCTAATCTCGATTGATTATTTAACTTGCGAAATTCTTTGCGATAACCTAATAACTTAATAAAATGATAAATCAAAAAGCCAAAAGTTATAAGTGCTATTAAGAATAACCAAGGAAATATTTTGTTTCACTTTTGCGGAGAGGGGAAAAAAACAATCACAGAAGACACGGAAAAATTAAGAACACCAGAGACAATAGAACAAATTTCGAACCATTGGGAATGGTAATCGCACTTTTCTTCCAACTCAGGTAAAATTTGGGAATTATTCATACTCTCTATAAATTAATATATAAAAGTGTTGTAATTACTGTTATTTAGTTTATGTGTATATGATTACTTTCTTAATCTAACCTCTGTATATCTCTCAACCAATTACCAGAATTTTTCCTCAACCTTTTTTCGTTTCTCGCGAATTATTTGGTTTATCAGCATAATTTAGTATAACTTAATATAACTATTGCATGGAAGGGGTAGAATCGTCCCAAAAGTCTTAAAAAAAACAATATGAGTAATTTAAAAGTATTTGCTTTGGGCGGCTTACAAGAAGTAGGAAAAAATTGTTATTGTATTGAGAACACTTAAAAACTAAAACCAACCACCTTCAACGAGAAAAAAACATTCATCAATTCTTCAACATTGTTCA